TTTACCTCTACACACCTTTTGGTGACTCAGAAAAGGATTACAGCAACTTTTCTGATTACCCTCATATCTTACTACTAACATATCATGATGGTGCGTGCATATATTAGTAATTTGTTCTTGTTTAAGAATTGTTCGTTTTTCAAGTAGCTGCAATCATTGCTGTCAATATCTTCAATCAGATTTCTTTCTTGAGAATATGATTGTTAATAACAAGCTCCATAATTATTTACAAAGCAGTAATTAATTTTGTTATCCATATAAAAATATAATGAGGAATCTCTGTCTAAACACTTAAAACAAAAAATCTTAAATAATCTTAATGTCCCTAACAAGAAAAGTACACTTGAACACAAACAATATCATATCAATATGTATTTATAAAAAACATATTGCTTGAACAAGTAGCTATTAGTTTAATAGACATAATTTAAACGCCTAACTATCTCCTAATTATTGTAAATTCTCCATTAACTACTTACAAAAAGTTGTGTAAAAGTAAAAGATAACTAAATATAATTTTATTTAGTTATGTAACTTAACGTGGTAATGTTAATTAGACATTATTATATCATTTTATTACTTTTTTTATTGATGATAATAAATGTTTTATTACAACAAAACAACCAACAACAAAAGTTACATAATATTGTTAAATTTAATGACATGATATTATGTAATAAAAAAGACATTATTATTATGTAATGAAAGTAAAAAGAAACAAATTTATAAAATATTAAACTATGTTTTGTAATAACTTTGTAAATTTTTTACATTTATTATAAAACAAAAATAATTGTATTTGTATTCAAAATATATTTGCAAATTTTTTTTTTTTGCAAAACATCTTTAGAAAAATTGAAAAACTAAAACATCAATAACTCCTTGATAAAACATAAGGCCAAATAAAAATTGGTTCGCAAAGTAGATATATGTTTAATATTTAAAATAACGAAAACCAAAACTTTTTTTCATCAATCAAATTTTTTCTATAACTATAGTTGTCAATGGTCTTTTTGTAAATTGTCATTAACAAGTGCGTTTTGTGGATCTAAAAATAAACTATATTTTATTGTATTGAGAGGTATAAGCTTATGATTTTCAGATTCAGCAGGTTTTAAACTCCTTTGATACCAAATTTTAGCTTCACAACATTACTACAAGTTTGTTAAAAGAATAATGGTAAATTGACATATTTCCGGCTTAATCCCCCCTCCTTTTTTCAGTCAAAAAATAACTAACTTCAAGTTGCTGTAAATCTTAAAGGGTTGAGAATTTTTTGAAAAAATTATATCTTTAAACATTTGTGCCACTTCAGCGAATTTGGTGATGCAGGGTGCAACCCCTTGTTTTTTGAAAAATTTTTACCCTATTGCGGTTTTTTGAAAAAGCAATAAAATTTAATGTACTTCGGCATTAATTTAATTGCTTTGACATTTCGACGACAATAAAATGCAGTTTAAGAGACAAGGTAAAAAAATTGTAGTCGAAAGAGACTTTTTTTTTACCATAAAAGATAAGATATATATATATATATATATATATATATATATATATATATATATATATATATATATATATATATATATATATATATATATATGTATATATATATATATATATATATATATATATATATATATATATATATATATATATATATATATATATATATATATATATATATATATATATATTAGGATGGGTTAAAATTTTTTTTTTCTTGTTACAGGCTCTAAACATTGCTAATAGTTATTAATATTGATACTATCGAGTATGAGAATGATTGTGATAGATTTAAAGGGCGCAACTTTATTGGGAAAATTACCGGTACCCTAATATTTTGGAGAAAAAAAGTTTTTCAAAAGTAGGTCAACCTGGTACTCAAAAGAAGCGAAATTTTATAAAAAATTTGAAAATAATAATCGTTTTATAAAAATCATATTGCTGAAAAAATTTTTTAATAAAAAACATGTAAAAATGCACCTTTTTCACTTTTAGTAAAAAAACTATAGTTATTATGCAATAAAATTTAAAATAATAATTTTTATATAAAAAATTTTTTTATAAAATTTCGCTTTATTTGAGTACCTACATCACATAATTTTGAAAAACTTTTTTTTATAATAATAATAGGGCCTGCTAATTTTTGTAATTATAGTTGCGGGTGGAAGACATTGTTCAATCCATAAAAGTAAATACTTTCCTAAATTAGCACATAAAAAAACAACTTTCTAGCAATGTTTAGAGCCTGTAACAAGAAAAAAAATTTTTATGACTCACCCTTATATATATATATATATATATATATATATATATATATATATATATATATATATATATATACATTTTGTTAATATACTTTAGTATATTACATAATACATATAGTAGGCCTTAATAAGTATATACAATTGTACGTACAGTATGTTCAACTGTATATACTCTGTTCCATGTGACACATTCTTACATATAATATATGTAAGTATGTATTAAGCAAATATTTTGTTTAATTAAATTTATGCTATGACAACAGTATAATAAGTACTTACTTAAATGGTATATGTAAATATGTATTGTACAATTATTTATACAAAATATTTGCTTGATACATAAGGACAACAACATCGATTATGATATTTTAAGCTTAAAAACATTAAAATTAGTGGATAAAAGAAAACATGCAAAGAAGAATATCGAAATACCATCTAAATTGCTGTTTAAATGTATAAATTTATATTATAAATTTATACAAACTATTCAGTATAAAATGACATAATAATATATATTTTACTATGTTACAGTATATATTCAAAAATATATGCGTGTATACAATATTTACATATACATGTTTAACATGGATTAAAAGGGTTTAAAACAAAAAACACTAGGAAAGGGAAAACTTGATACAACCTTTACAATGTTTCTACCGTTATCAGTACCAATGGAAAATATTTTTTCAAATAATCTCTATTTATCGGCAATATTTCTCATATGGGTTGAAACATTGTCATTGGTGTGTCGGTCAAATGTTTGATGAACACCTAAGGCAAATGAGTTCAATATCAAGTTTTTATCTATTAAATGGCATCTTAAACCAAAGTAACTGACATTACCCATTGAAGACCAATAATCACAGGTAATTGCTATACTAGTAACCATGTTTACGAGATCTATAAATATCTAATCTATAATGTTTTCGTTATACGGATGTCTTTAATTAGAAGGCATTAGCAATCTTTTTGTTTCCATAAATACGTTATTTTTAATTTAAATTAAAAGGTCATTATTATTTGCTTTCTACGCATTTGCACGCAATAATTCCTGTTTCTTGGGTCAATTGAGGCACTGAAAATATTCAGACATTCTTTAAGAAACCACCAAAACAGTGGACATTTGATTGAGTCTTTAAGAAGTTTTATGAGCTAGCTGCATACATGGCAGTTGTAAATAATTTAGTGGCGTAGCTAGGGTTTTAGGCGCCCATGGCAATACTGAAAATCGGCGCCCCTGAAGCAAACATAAAAAAACACTTGATGTTTCCAAGTGTATGTCAATTTAAAAAAAAAATAAATAAAAATGCTAATCAAAATGCTCAATTTAACTCATGTTTCCAATTACGTATCCATTATGGTTCATGTGAACTAGCCATTGAAAATGACAGATGGTCAATCAGATCCAATAATCAATAACTATTTATAAATTATAATTTGATCTTTCTAGCTTTAACTGCAGCAAATTTATCTATTATGTGGTGAAAGTCTGTTGATTCTAGAGTTCATCTTTCGACACTAAGAATTGCCAAATCAACAAGACGTTGTTTCCCCATTGAAGCTCGTAGATATGAAAGAATAAGCTTCAACTTGCTGAAGGAACGTTAGGAACTGGCTATTGACACTGCAATTGTGAGCAAAATTTAAAATGCAATGCGTAAGTTCGGAAAAACGTCATCTCCGTATGACGAAATAAATTCAAGTAATTCCAGCGGAGTTGATGATATTGGGCCCCCACGAGATTTAAACAGCATCTGACAGTCTGCGGTTTCAGTAAATAATTCATCTCCCCTGATATCTGTACTGTAAAGGTTTTCCAGATTCTAACATTGTTGCGGCAAACTTTCTTGATTTTCATCACCATCCCTCTTTAGTAATATTCTCACTTCGAGCAAGAATCCAAATTATTCATTCATATTATTTAATCGTCTAAAGCGAGTTGTTAGTTCTTGTTGGAAACTATCCAATATCATTTTCAAAACTCTGCTAACTTCATCTTCAGCAGAAAGGCTACAATCTCCAGCCAATTCATCTGGTATTACTCGTCGTCGCTTGACTCTCCTCTCAACTTAAATTTCCCATTCCATACATCTGCCCTTGCTATACTCAATTGTATTTTGGCTTAAATGAACAGGAAATTCTTTGAGACAATTTTCCCTTTTTTGACGCCCCCTTAAAGTGGCGCCCGGGGCGAATGCCCCACCTTCTCCCATCCTATTGCTACGCCTCAGAAACAATTTAGCTAAACGAGGAATCAGTCTTTTTAAAAACTAAAATGACAAACTGACAAAGAAACAGAAAAAGTTTTATTTTAAAAGTTTTAAGTCAATAATTTCCCAATTATTTCGTAGTTTGTTTAATGCAAAATAATTAATCTTAAGATGTTAAATTTTAAAACTAAATTCTTTACTAGGTTGTAATTTTTATTTCCTTTTTTTTCAATCGCAACTTATTTCATAATTTTGGTTTAATTTATAATCTAGAACTGAGATTTAAATCGATAATCGACATTCGACAGTTATGTCAAATTTTATTTGAAATAAATTTGTTAATTATATATATATATATATATATATATATATATATATATATATATATATATATATATATATATATATATATATATATATATATATATATATATATATATATATATATATATATATAAATTAAATATAAAAATTAAATATAAAAATTTATAAAAAACTGCAAAAACTGTAACTTTTTTTTCAGGATATTACTAAAAAAGATTTAAATATCCTTTTGCACAAAATAAATGGAGTCATTATACCAGGTGGTGATGCTGACATTGGAGATTCCGGTTATGAACGAATTTCAAAGCAAATTATCAACCACTCAAAAAAAATGGCAAAAAAAAACATTACTTTTCCTGTACTTGGAATATGCCGTGGGGCTCAGATGATGATGATTGCAGAAGCAGACAAAGACTTTTTAGTTGAGACAGACTCCTTAAATTACAGCATTCCGTTAGACTTTACAGATGAAGCGCGAGAAAGTCGCCTCTTTGGACATGCCCCACAAGGATTGTTTGACGCTCTTGGGACAAAAGCTATAACTTTTAACGCGCATAAAGCAGGCATTCCAACCGTAAACTTCTACAATAACACAAAGCTGATGGAAACCTTTAGAGCAATATCAACAAATTATGATCGAAACGGCACTCAATTTATAAGTACATTTGAAGGTAAGAAAATTATAATAAGAGTGTTGACAGTTTTAATTAAATGCGATGAAAGCAAACGAATTTATAAGGAAATGTACGTAAAATATTTTTTTCACTTAAAAATATTAGGTTAATTTATTTTACGCAATATTATTATCTATGTTTAGGTCGACATGCACCTTTATACGGTCTTCAGTGGCATCCTGAAAAATCTCTATTTGTTTTTAATCCAGTTCTGGCAGTGGACCATTCCATCATTTCAATTATAGCTGCCCAATACATATCTAACTTTTTTGTTTCAGAAACACGAAAGAATCCTAATTCTTTCAGAGATCGAGCCGATGAACAAAATCATCTTCTTTTAAGTCATTATCCAACATATGTAGGTAACATTACTGAGACACCATATGAACAAATATATCTCTTTGACTTTGAAAAACCGTACCAAAAAGGAAAGAAACCAACAGAGTTTTAAGTAAACATTTTGGTTTTGTAAAACGTAACACAAGATTAGTTTGTAAATAAAAGATATGGTAAACGTTTTGGAAATAACTCTGGGAAAAAAACTTGCAATACCATCTAACTTAACTCATTTCGAAGAAGAAAACAAAACAAAACAAAAAAAACAAACAAACACGCGTGTTAACATATTGTGATTATTTTTGAAACTATTTTTTTTTTAAATACCCATAATATTATTTTTTTTTAAAGCGGAAATGATATTGTTGTATTATATTTGTTTCGTTTATAAAAAGATATAAATTCATTTGACTTCACCTTCAGGGTGTCATTTCGTATTCAATTCAGAATTTTTTTATTTGACAACAATATATATAATTTATTTTTTTTACCAAAACCAAAACTAAAGTTTTGGTTAAAAAACCCCGTATTTTTCGTGAAAAATACGTTTTATTAAACCAAAATATTTTATGAAGTTACTGGCGCGAAGCATTTACCATGTGAATGACGCGAATGAATTACCAAACGGCGCGAAGAAATTATCAATTTATTTACAAAAAGTGCTATTAACAGTTCTAGAAACCTCTTTAAAAAAGGTTAATAAGGAACGCAAAAATGATTTTTGACATAGTAAATAGGGTAATACTAATCAGCGAAAAGTTTTGTCGTTTTTTTGTCGTTAAATTTAATGTAAACTTGCAATAATGTAACCTTGTTTTATTGCTAAAATAACTATTGCTAAAAAATTTGACGACCCTCCGCGATATATATATATATATAATTTATTTTATGTCTTTAAAATTTTTGATAAAAGTTTAAAATATGGGTCGTGGGGGGTCATCATATTTTTTATGAGTTTTTTTAGCAACAATATAAGGTTGTTCATCAGATACAGTAAAAAAAAACTGTGAAAAAATGGTTTTCTTTCTAGTAATAAGTCGTTTTGGTAACTTTTTCAAAATTTTATTGTAAAAAGTTTTTTAACATAAAATAACTTTTGTTGCAATAGGTCTTAATTGTTTTTTTGTTTAATTTTACTGATTTTGGAAGCTAAAGCTAAAATTTGTTTGTTCTTAGTATTTAGTTTCATAATTATAATTGCGGGTTTACATTAAATTTAACGACAAAAAACGACAAAAGTTTCCGAGGATTCATTTTCCGCGGATTAGTATTACCCAAGTAAAGGCGTAAAAAGGAAATTAAATAGCAGTAATTAGTAATTAGTAATTTAATTATCATATTAAAAAGTTGTGTTGTAATTTTGTGTTGAAAATTGTGGTAATTAGTAATAATTAAAAATCATTAAAAAAAAAAAACATTTAAAATATTAAACTAACAAAATTACAACAATTTATGTAAATATTAAAAAAAAATTGACAAAATATTTTAGCATCCTAATTTACAGAAAAATGTAAACATTTAGATATGTGCATTTTTCTCTACCATGCCATGTGTCGAATTTAAGATTGTTGTAAAAACCAGATCAATCAGTAATAAGAAACGTACGCGTCATGTGAGATTGTTTCTTATATTGATTGGTCTGGATTTGAGACTGCAAAGCATTTTTGTTTAACCACATTTTTTACTTTCTTGTTTTTTATAATGGTAGCGATATTGGTTTTTTAGATTTTACTATTTAAGTACGTTATCTTGAATCGGAAACGGAAAAAAACACAAACTGAAACTTTTTTATCCCTGTGTAATAGGTTTTATCATACGTCTGCTTAGCGGTATTACCTTTTGCAATCGTATTTCTTTGTGTATGCTGCAAGATTAAAATTCAATTTTCAAAACCTTCAAAAGAACAAGTTTTCCAGGAAACTTTGACTAACCCACACAACTCTAATCCGGAGATACAAAGTTATTACCACGTTTTACCAACTAGTTTAAATTTTCCAAAAATTGGTGAAACTTGGCCTCCTGCCACATCAACACAAAGTTCATCCTGCTTAAACAAAGAAAATGTGCTTCCAAGATGGCGCAATGAAGAATTGAGTTCGCAACAGTTTTCAACTATTTGTGTGCGTGTGTGTGTGGTCGCTCAGTTTGTAGCTATAAACTTTTTATGCATTTAAAAAAAAAAAAAAAATCTTGTATCTTGTTAAAGAATATAATATTGAACTAATTTCAGTCTGATTTTAAAAGAAACAAATACGCTTTTTTATGGTGCCGAAACCCGTATATAGTAAAAGAGAGATTTATTGATTATAAAGACATTGTTTATAGATTTCGCGGCGTTAACTTAAGCAAAAAAATCTTTCAACGCGAATTTATAAATGTTTGCGCGACCGTTTTAAAATTCGTTTAGTTTTAATATCATTTAGACTGGAATTTGTCTATGTTTAATCCAGTCTATAGTTAAGTTAAATAACTAAGAATTATAGAGTATTTGTTCAAAAAGTGAATATTTTAATGTGTCAATATGTTAAATAAAATTACATTCTTTGTTTGTGGAGGAACATATTTTATTTACGCATTAATCGTATTATTTAAGGCTTAATAAATATGCCTGAAAAAAGGTGCTCAATGTTATTATGTTACCTCCTCCATACATATTGTTTTATATCTAAAAAAGATACTTGGATTACAATCTTTCTTTTTAGCTAGAGATTTTAAAAGTTAATTTGTATTTATTAAGATATTTGATTTTTTCTTGCTAAAATTGACATTTTCAACTTTCAAAAAGCCTTAAAACCTAAAATAATAAATCATTTTCAAAATCTTTAACTAAATATTATACCAACAAACCAAAGATTATTTGTAAAATTTTTTTATTAATACAGTGCACAGTGATTCAGAAACACTAAAAACCTGACCAAAATACAATTTTTTGAATGGCGCAATTTTAATAATGTTATTAAATAAATATTATCTCGAGTTTCTTGTAATTACAGTGGCATAATAGAAAAGTTACTAAATTATTAGATATAAACGGTATTTTATGTTTGAAAGTGACCGAAAACAGCGTGTCTGTTTTCATTATAATTGTATCTTTACTTAACACGTTGACCGCCTTGCCTTTTTTTGAAAAAATCACATTGAAAATAATCTTTTTTTTTTTTGAATATTTCGTGTATACATATGTATACACAAATAAGTCAAAGAGGAGTTTTTTTTTTTAAATAATTTTTAGTTTTTGTTTGAACATTCGAACAATAATTTTCTCAAAACCTAAACTATTTAACTTTTAAATATTTAAAAATATATTTTTCCAAAATGTTCCAGAACCTTCCAGCACGCCGATAAACGGGTATATAAACCTAGCGTTTTCTGCTAAACACCAGTTCAGCAATTGTATGGACTTTAAATATTGTTGAATAAATAATTGTGATCGACTGAAAGAAAACTTGACTGTCGAAACTTAACAGTTTTCAACTTTTTTCCTCAAATACTTGATTGATATTACTAATTTTTTGATACAATCGTAAATTTTTATTATTTTCTAGCTATTAATTTTTCTTATTTATTAGAATGGCTGATGATAATATTGAATTAAACGATAGCTTTGAAAGGTTGCTGTTACAAAGTGATGACGAACATGATTCTGATTTAATGGAAACAATTCAACAGGACAAATCTGATGAGTCCGATAGTGCTGATAGTGAATCAACTGATGGTGGTAGTGATGATGGTTCAGAAGAATGGTCGAAAAATGTGCAGAAACCTTTAAGATGGGATTTTGATGACGGAACTGCGGGCATGAATATGGATATGGTAATGGATTGCAAAGAACCTGTCGATTACTATAACTTATTTATGAACAACGAACTTATCAATTTTATTGTGGAAGAAACTAATCGTTATGGACCAACAAAGAATTCAAACTATTTGCCGACAAATAATATGGAAATGCGAAAATTTATGGCTATCATTTTGCAAATGGGATATGTTGTTCTGCCTAAACTCGATGATTATTGGTCCTCTGACCCTGCTATTGGCGGTAAAGCAATATGTGGAGGTGTAATGACAAGGAAAAGATTTTATTCTTTGATGAGATCCCTCCACTTCGCTGACAATGACAACAATAATGGATCAAAATTATATAAAATAGAAAAATTTGTCAACTTGTTCATTGCCAGATGTCAACACT